CATTCAACTGGTGTAACTATATACACTGGCCTACAATAAATGTTCGGATTTTTTTTTTATTTATAAAATTTACATGTAAAATTCATAATTTTGTGTACATATAAAAAATTTTTTTGTACTTATTAATTGACAAATAAATTTTATTATATTAAAATATAAAATATAAAGTAATTATATAAAAAATATTATCACGAAAAAATTAATATTTGGTATGGCCACCTTTGGTCTTAATTACTGCTTTAACCCGATTAGGCATACTCAAAATTAGGCGTTGACATGTTTCAATAGTGATTTTTTGCCACTCGTCTTGTATTACCTCAATTAACTCCTGTTTAAACCTGGGTACAGGCTTTCTTTTTCGAACCTGACTATCCAAATGGTTCCACAGGTTCTCAATCGGGTTAAGATCAGGGCTTTGCGCCACCCAATCTAAAATTGGAATGTTATGTGTTCTCATCTACCAAACGGTGTAAGTTGAAGTATGACATGATGTTCCGTCTTGCTGAAAAATAGAGTTGGGATAATTGTCAACCCATGGGATGAAATGGTTAGCCAGAATATTAACGTATTCATCAGAATCCATATTCCCTTCAACCACGATCAAAGGTCTAACCCCATGCCAACCGAAACACCCCAAAACATTACCGATCCCCCTCCAAACTTAACTGAAGATTGAATACAATCTTTATTGTACGTTTCTCTAGAACTTCTCCATACTCTTGCTCGACCATCTGATTGAAAAAGAGCGAACCTTGATTCATCTGACCATACCACTTGTTTCCACTCTTCTGCCCAATTTTTTTTATCTTTACACCATTTCAAGCGGTCAGTTCGATGTTTTTCGGTTAAACGAGGCTTTTTTTTTGCAGTGTAACTTCCAAGACCTTCATCATGAAGGTATCTTCTGACTGTATTATAGTGGAAAGTTGTGTCAAGACTGGTATTAAACTTGTCTGTTACATCACCTAGAGGAGAAAACTGGTCAGTTCGTATGATACGTTTTAAAGCTCGGGTATTGCATTTTTTGAGCGTTTTTGGTCTTCCAGGACGTTGCTTTGATTCTGTAGAACCTGTTTCTTTATACTTTTTTACAATATCACATACGGTACTCTCTGGTATATTAAGTTGAACGGAAATGACTCTTTGCTTAGTACTAGTAAAATAGGCGCCGATAATTTGTTCCCGGTTAGCTTTTGAAACTTGTTTTCCAGGCATTGAAAACTAGAAGAAGAGTGAAAAATAATATTTTTGTTATCTCCTTTATTTATATGTACGATAGGGAGAAATCACCGATCGTAACACAGGGATGCAAATTTACGTGATGAAAATCCGAACATTTATTGTAGGCCAGTGTAGTAGAATGTGACTATAACGGGAGTGACTATAGAGGGAGTTGACTGTATATATAAGTACCCGATATGTGTATGATATGTGTATTATTTGTGTATGATTTTCTACATTTTGAGTACCCGATATATGTAAGATATGTGTAGGATATGTGTAGGATAGACCATTTTTTTACCAGTGATATATTAAAGTTCTTTATTTTACATCCATATTCAGTAAAATTTTGAATACAAGTATATCAAGTTGCTATTTATTAATTTAGAAAGTTTGAGTTATAATTATTATGTAGAATTTTGAATTCACCAAACATTTATATCAAAAAAATCGGTAAATTGTTATTTATTACGACTACAGCAGGCTAGTGAGTACGACTACGTGTGAGTACGCATCACATAGATATGTAATCACGTATTATGTAGTCATATGACTTGAAATGATTACACAAGTACGCAATACAATCTTTGTACTCACTGTACTCACGTACTCACGTACCAATCATTAATTGTATAACGACCAGTTTAGGCAAATTTTTTTTAATTTTTTCAAAAGGCAATTCATCGCGCTTTTTTTTTAATTTATTTAAACCAGCTATTTTTCTTTATTTACAGAAATGCTGGCATTTTTTGGACTCTTAACTGATCTTAAAGTAATTCAACTTTTTTTAAAATTTATTTAACATTGTCTTTTATTTACCTTATTTAATAAGAATGTCGTGCTTGAATTTTTAAAGGTAAACTCATTGAGCTAAACTTAATAAAAGGGAATTTGTTTTATGTAATTTTAACTGGTTTGAATTACAGAATAAAAATACGAAGAGCTGATAACTAGCATTTGAATAAGAACTAGTAAACCAACAAGAAAATAAAATAAATACACCACTACAATTACAAACAAAGTAGAATTTTCTCATTATGAATGAGAGACTTTTTACGCCATTATAACTACCATATTAAAATAAAGCATTAAAGTAAGAATTTCAATATATTACTAGTCACTTTTTTTTTATTGTTTAATATTTATTCTTTTTTTTTGCTTTCTGTTTTTAAAACATAAATAATGTAAATGAAAACTAAAAGAAATCTCATTATTTAGATCATTTATATATTAGCAAAAAAATTTATTTGTATTTTTATACGATCATTTGATAACTGAAGTAAATTACATCATTGTGGATTCTTGATTGACCATTACACTTTTTTTGGTTAGTCAATTTTCAATTTAGGTGAGTTGAATACTTCTCAGTAAAAGTAAATTAGTTATTTTTTAGAATTTTAACATTTTAATTATATTTAATTATGGAAATAACCTTGACGATTTTATAATTAATAAATCTATAAAAATTATTTTCAATAACTTTTTTAGAAATTGTGTAATCATGTTTATACCAACTTTTTACAATAAAGTTTTATTTCAAACGCGTTCAAAATTTTTTCAATTTTACTTTTAATCGCGTTTTTTATATTCTGTTTTATTTTTGTAACTACAAAAACCAAATTAAAATTTTCAAACAAACTAAAATGTCTGATTTAAAAATCATTAACATTAGTTCTGATTCATCAGAGGTAAAACAATTTATTAATATTTTAATATTATAATACAAAATTTTAAAGTTTTCATTATTTTAAAGTGAAGATCAAGAATTCTCATTACCACAGGAACTTGCTTATAATGAAGAGAGACTGGAAAAAACATTAGCTTTAATTAATACTATATATCATATAACTGATATTCGCCATTCTTTATTTCCCATTGAGTATCCTGATAGTTCAAATGATGGAATTGCATATGTTTTTCATGTTGAAAACTGGGCTGATAAAAAAGCTGTATTTGGTGATGTAAGTGATGGAGTTTTATTTTTAATTATTTTGTCTTTTAATATTAATTAATGAATTATTTTTCCTATCATTTATTTTAAGATTCAGTATAGTCTTGGAAAACCTAGTGGTGCTCATTCTAATACTTTTTGCCCGTATTTGGGAGTAAAATGCAAAGACGAAAAAAAAACATGTCAAGGGTTAAAGCTCTGCAGTATTGCTGCTTCTGATCTTAATATAAACACGACTCATACTATAGTAGATCCTGATGTTGACCTTCTTTCAAGAAATCCCAGCTTTTTTACATTATCTTCTTTACATCAAATTCAATTAAATACACAAGAGTAATTATTTATTATTACAATTTTTATTTATTTCTTATTGAATATTTACAAATAACAATTTAATTAAATTTCTTTTAATTTTAAGGGAATATCTTGCTGCAATTAAAACTAAATGTTGTTATAACAATTATACATGTAATGGAAAACCTGTGGTAAGATATCACAAAGCCAATAGAAGTGATGCCAATCAGTACTTTATTGGTTGCAGTTTGTATACCTTTGGCACGCGACATAGATATATAAGTGGTAAACCTAATATTGATGAAGATCTTTTAAAAGAATTATTTAAAAATGAAGGACGAATTAGTACTATTGAGGTAATTTAATATTTTTTCAGTTTTAATATTTTATAATAAATTTTAATATTCATTTATTTATTTATATAGGATGATAAAAAATGTTTTACCACTATTCCTAGTGCATCTAGAAAAAAAGAGTGTCGTAAGTAATTATTTATATGATTAACAAATTAATGTTTAATTTTTTTTAAATAGTAATTTTCCTATTTTTATATAGCAATCCCTCATGTTAAAGATGGAAAAATTGAACTATTACCACTTGTAAAAATTGGATGTAATGTTATATTTCATAAATATGAACCATTAGATTTAAAATCATGTCCATATATAGTCATGGTTGTAAAAAACACTCACTCACATCCACAACCTCCTCCTCATCGAATACCTGGCCATTTACAAGAAAATGTAAAAAATTTAATTAAAAATTCAAATGATCTTTTAAGTGATACTACTACACGAAAATTAATTTCAGGTATAAATTGTTGATTTTTTTCTTTATTTTATTTTATTTTATTTTTAATAACTTTTGATTTTCAAAAAAGGTCCATTAATAAAAGCAGTTTTTGGAGAAGTTGTTTTATCAGATATTCATGCTTCAATGAATAATATTGATAAACTTCGTAATATTGTAATGAAAGAACAGAAATTATTACATCCACATGGACAGGGAATTATGGGAGTGGTTCATGCTTTTAATCAAAATGAAGCAAATTTACGTGATTATATTCAAAGAATTAGTAAGTATTAATAAAAAAAGTTTAATAAATTTATTTTAAAGATAATAATACAATTATCATTATTTTTTAGTATTTACAGATAGTGGAAATGTTATTATTTTATGTATGATTAAATTACAAGCTATTCATATGTCGAAATTTAAATATTTTATGGTAGATATGTCCTATAAACGTGTATTTGGAGAAATGAATGAATTTGAGTTTAATGCTTATGATGAAGATAATCATAGTAGTAAGTAGTTAAGATTCTCAAACTTTGATTTTAATTATAACATAAATTAATTTTTTTTTTTTATTTAGTTGTAACATTTTGTAGAATTTTTACAAATGGAAGTGATTCTAAAATTTATCAATGCATGTTTACAACTTTCTTTGAAGTTTATGAAGATTTAACAGGAGAAAAGCCATCTTTTTATCATTTTAATTCAGAAAAAAAAGGATGGGCTGCTATAATTGTAGATCTTGACAAAGGTCAAGCTAAAGGATTGTCTTTAGCTTTAAATTCTTTATGTAATTCTATAAATGCTGAGCAACATTTACTTTATATTTTAAAGTCTTGTTCAGTTCATTTTAAAAGGTAAAAATGAAGTTTTTTGATTATTTACAAATAAATTGCTAATAATTATTTTATTTATATTAATATAGAAATGTAAGAAATTCTAAATATTCAGATGAAAGCAAATTTTTAATGCGTCAGCTTCTAAAAGCCAAAACTAAAGATGATGTAGATTTTATATTTGAGCAGTTAGAAACTATTGGTAATGAGAAAATACATGGTAAATAGGTTAATTTTATTAGAATTTGTATTATTTATATTGTTATTAACGTGATTGCTAATAAATAGATTGGATAACTGAATACCAAACACCATGGATATTAGCATCATTGAATCATAATTATTCTTTGATGGATTATGATATTTGGATGACTACCCCTTTTGATACTAATGTATCTGAATGTTCACACGCGAATGTAAATAGAGAAGGGACGCGATTGAGATTAAAAACTGCAATATTTCAGTAAGCTATTCTAATTATATAATTATTTAATATATTTTATAATTATTAACAAAGTTATTTTTTAGTTCATGGAACTATGATCTAACATTGTATAGGCGGTTTCATAATTACCAGAAATATAATATTCCTATGTCAAGCAAGAATAAAAGTGGTACAAAACGAAAAATAGATGCTAATAAGCGAAAAGGTAATTAATAATTTATTTATTTATTAAATTTAATTCTTATTACTTATCTATTATTATTTATCTTTAGAAAAACGAAAGAATATCCAAATTCAAAAATTACCAAACAAAAGGCAGAAAGTGAGTGTTAAGGAAAATGACTCAGAATTTCAAAAAAGAATTCAGGAGTTGGAATATGAAGAACGTAAGGAAGAACTAGAAAGAAAAAGATTGGATAACCAATTGAAGAAATTGGAAATTGCACAGAAGGAAAAGGAGTTAAAGGAGTTAAATGAATAAGTATTATATAATGAACTTATTTTAAGTTATAGCTTTTAATTGTTATGTGCCTAAACTAAATAAAATATAAGCTGTGACGTTAATTACTGATAATTAAAAAATTATTTTAAAGAGACGTATAGGTTGTTTATTAGAATTAACAATATTTATATAACTATGATCACTTTTTTATTATTTTACACAGGTTGTACATCCTGTAAGGATGTTAGTAGATAAAACATAAAACAATTCGTCTTTTACCAATCACTAAAATTAAAAAAAAGTAGAAAACAATAATCTGTCTAACATTTTTTATAGAAATTCGCCCTTTTTATTTCATTTGTATTCTTTTTTTTTTATAACATGTATTTTAGAAGAGTTTAATTACAAAAAAGAAAATTGCAATTTTTTCTTTTATATGTACAGTTGTTTATGTTTTATTAATTTCGTGTTTCATACGTTATATTGTAATATGGTAAAAATAAAACTTAATATATAAGCTCTTCAGGAATGTAAAAATGAAGTAGTGTAGTACTGTAGTTCAACGGTGTAATAATATTTCACTTAAAAAATAATTTAAAGTTCGTCAAATATATTGAGAATACATGTGAGTACACGTGAGTACATGAGTACAAGATATTCAATTCACGTACTCGTACTCACAGCTGCGTTGTAGTCGTAATAATTAACTATATAATCCAAAAAAATGTATTGATCACGTTAAATTAAAGTTGTTACATATAAAAGTTGGCCAATAATAATCTGATTTTAATAAAAATTGGTATAATTAAAATTTAACATAGGACATATATATTGATAGAATTTAAGGATATATTAATATGCCGAATTTTTCAAAAAATTAAACAATGTTTCATATCAGAATTGTATATCACGTGATAAAATCAAAAAAATCGTGTGATAAAATCGAAAGCCTGCTATACTGATTGGATCTAACTTCAAAAGTGATAGGTCCTTTTTCTTTACATTGTTCAGAAAAAGATAAATCAGATACTTTATTTTCTGATATTAAATTTATGATTTCTAATGTATGTACTTCTGATAATTGCCATGGCTCATGCCCAGTTTTTTTTTTATATTTTTTGTATAACCAAATCTTATCTGTCAAAATGCTTGGTAACCCACTTAATTTGGTATGCTAATCCAGATATTCGGGAGTTAATATTTTATCAGACTTGATTATGTTTAAATTTTATATGATTGTGAGTCAGTTTAAATTAGGTAATAGCTGTTATAAATTAGTCCTATAAAAAAATATCATATAATGAAGTGTAAGCAAATATAATATTGTAAAACAATAAAACTATACAACTATTTTGATTTTACACTGTTCACATTTAATAAAGTAAGAACTGTTTATATCTACCTTCTAAACTTTTCTCATTATCATGCTCTAACTTGCATAATAAGCATATTTTTTTGTTAATAATACCATAATAATCAAAATTTTCACTACTAAATTCTCTATATAAATTTGGATATTAATCCAATGTCTTTTGTAAAAATAGGAGTGCGTAGTCATGAGTTGAATTAGTTCTAAGAATTGGTGGACAAGATGCAGGTAAAATATTTATCCCAGATTTTAAAAATGTATTAAATGCTAATGTATTAGAAGTATATGACAATTCAGAATTTTTCTTATTACTTCCTGAACTGAGATCAGAATGTAACAATTCAGAATTTTTTTCATCACTTAATAGACCATCTTTTGGCAGAGCACAGGTGAACAATTCTATTTTAAATCTTAATGCTGTAAATATATTATTATAATATACTAAATATCCTTATATATCATTTTTGAAATACTGTTAACAGAAAATGAATGTATCTAATAAATTTCCTATTGCATCAAAAAGCTTTCAGAGTTTCTTGGCCTTGTAATAACTGAAAATACAATAAAGTAGAATAAGGATAAATAATTAGCTGATGGATAAATAATTAACCGATAGGTAAATAATCAGTCGATAAAATTATATTTATAGTTTAGTTTAGTGTAACAAAATAGTCATATGATAATAGATCTTTTATTTTCTTAAATTTTCTTAAATTCTTATTAGAAAAAGATAAGTAGATATTAGAAATAATTTTCTTAAAATGTATAAATATCTGTGGATTTCATTAGAAATTCCACAGTTCAAGTCCGTAGTTCGATTTAAGTAAAAATAAATTTTAGTTCACCTTTAATAGAAACTAACACACTGTTTAGCCTTTTCTTATGAGAAAAGTGCCTCATTAATTATTTTAATTAATGATTTAATATGAAAATTAATAAATTTGGGAAAATTATTGTAATTTAAAATTTCGGTAAGAAATTATATTTTGTAACTAATTTTTATAATTTTTATTTTGAACCAAGCAGAGATATTATTCAAACTCAACACGTCAGTGGCAATATACGATATTTTATTAATATCCTATGGGCGGCGTGTCACAGCCTACTCAATTCTTTTTCATAAAAGTGCATCAGAAATATCTACAGGAAGCTGAGCTCTAATTTCCTTATTTAAAATTCTACGGGTTAACTTGTTTTTCAGATGCTATTTCATTTCGCCTTTGAATAAAAGCTTTACCAAATTGACAATAACACCAAATAGCTTTTTAAGTTGCATGATCAGTAAGAATAACAGTATCCCAAAATTTTTCATACAAAAAAGAAAAGGTTGGCATTCCTATCTTTACTGCTAAGGAATCACAGCTTTGTACTATTTGCTCTAAGCAAACGTTTAAAAAATTCAAACCCAGCTTATCTACAATATTGGAACAATTAGTGCTTGAATCTGATTTTCTTTGAGAAGATACCAAAAGTATCAAATCATTTCTGAACACTTCCTAGATAAATTTTTCCCTTTGTTCTTTCTTGTAAAGTGTCTTTTTATCAACAAATATCTATTTATTACCTTTTTTAGGGGAAATGAATTCCATTTTTGCAAGCTTCTCATCTCGCTTTCTCTACTTTATCCTATTATTAACAGTTCATTATCTTTTCCTTTGATGATTTAGAATTGATAGATACCACTTCATTTGCTACTATAGAGTCTGGTATGTTTTTTGAAGAAGAATTACTTTGTGATTGACTAGAATCTTGTTCTAACTTTATAATTCTAGTCTCAAATTTAGCATTTTTAGCATTACATCTTGCATTTTCAATATCACGTCTAGCATTCTTGGCAACAGCATCTATATATTCTAGTTTTTTCTAATTCTTTGATTCAACTCTTGAGCTTAGCCTTTAGTTTTGTAATTTTATCTTTAGCCTCATCATACTTGGCCTTAAACTCAGCATTCTCAACCATAAGTTTAGCATTTTTCTGCTTAAATAAGTTAATCTCAGATATTATTTTTGAAAATATTTTTATCACTATATACTTGCATTCAAAATAAAAAAATTATGATCACATGTTTTTTCTGAACTGAATTCAGGAAGTTTTGCTAAGAAATTTTTTATTAATAGGGTTTATGACTATCATATAAGTAGACATTATTATGATAAACTTATTCATTATCTCTTTTTTTTGAGATGATGATAAATTTTTTTGGCATATTTAGAGCAATAGCCTATATAAAATAATGTAGGTTTATCATATATTCTACATGAAGATTTTAGCATATTATTTGCACTTAATTTCCAGTAAAACAAACATCTTGCCAAGTAGATGCAAACTCGGCCATAAGTATTTCCATCCTTTCTAATATGTGGACAGGTAAAATGATCTATTTATTATATTTTTTATATTTTTACACCTTTCTCATTATAGAATTCAAATTTCAATATGAAAAATCTGAATTGAATTTGGATGGAAAAAGTATATCATAAATGAAAAATATATACTACATTATACTACTTCATTTCTATAGATATATAAAAAATAGTACTTAATATTTTAACAGATTAATAAATCGACCCAAATGGAACGCTATTCCAAAGTTGATTCATAAAGATTACAGATATACTAATAGACTTTCAGATTATTTAAAAAATATTAGGATTACATACGTCAATGAATTTAAATTAGATTTCCTAGCTGACTTCTACTATTCAGTCTTAATTCCGTCTTTATCTGTCATAACAATTAGAACAGATATTTGTGAAAAATTTATTATTATTGTAAAGACTGCTATTGTAAGAGAAATAAGTTTATTCACCTTTGAAAAAAAATAAATGATCTTTGCTTTAAAATCTAATCCAAATAAATTACTTCAGTGATAACTTGACTATGCTAATAGAAATAACTTGGAAATATAAAAAATTGAAAGCTTAAAAGAATGACATGTTTATGAAATTCCTTTATTATTCAAATTTAACTCTTTTAAAGCATAAATCAGATGCATTATATGACGTATTTACCAAGATGAATGTTTAGAACTAGAATATATATTGGCTTTAGCACGAATTTAAGGCATGATTACGATATAAATAAATTGTTTATAGTCTTGGATGGCAGTTCTATAACTATATATTTTTTGCTTATCATATATATCTGCAAAATTCAATTTTTTTTTATATTACATGTGAAAAATAAATACAAATTGTTGGTTAGCAAAGCTAACCTGATACATGATATCTATACTAGTATTCTATACAACTAATTTTTCTTGATTATTTTTTTTTACACTTTTATTTGCAAGTTTTTTACTAACTGATATCCTATCTTTTAACAAACTCATTATAACCTCTAAAATCCTCTTCATATTTTTGCACAAGTTGGTTGAGTCCTTGAATGCATTTTCAGTCAGAAAGGTGCGATACTCAGTCTTGCTCATACAGTAGATAGCTTTAATATTATATAAAATGAAATACCAAAAACAAATTAGTGATACAAAAGACTAGAAGAATAAAAATAAACATATTTATACTCCTCAAATGCTTTATCAGCCGTATGCTTTTTTTTAAGCATTCGGTTGACTTTTTATCAAATTTTTTTAGCTTCTCTTTAAGACTAATTATTTTGTTTTCTAAATGCTTAATTTCCTCTATATCAATAGCAAACTTATCTTTACAGATCTAATAACTAACAGCCTCAGCAAATTTTTCTTATCTTTCTTAGTCATAATGCGTTTCTGCTTAATGGTTAGAACATTATTGATATCAAACAAATTCTTGTGTAGTATTTCTTTCTGGTATAAAAATGGTTCCCATATATTTCCAATATCAATCCAGTGTATACATGAAACTGAAATTAGTTAATTTTAACCTCTGAAATGGTCGAAATAGTCGAAATAATTTTGACTTGAGTCCCTCCAAAAGTCAAAATAGTCAAAATTATGTTATACATATGGGCTGATTTGTCTACTTTTAATTAAAATATTAATTTTATTACATTTTTATTATACAAAATACTATATAATATACAGTAAATTGGAAATGAGTATTAAAAAATTTTTATTTAATGTTATGGTCCAGTGCAAAAAGATTTGTATATCAAAATAAATGTCAATAAAAAATTTTTTAATAAATTAAATTTCATTTTTTTTTATATAAATCTTATTAGTATATATTCGGAAATATTATAATATCATTATTACACCAAATTGTGCATCACCATCGGATTCACTATAATTATTAGATTCTTTATTAATTAATTGGACATTTTCGTTAGCCTCAAAATATACTAAAATATGCCTTGGTATTTTAAGCACTTTTTTCTAAAATTCATTATAATCTTTAAGTTGACTTCATTTTTTAATGCATTTAAAAGTGTATTTCAAACAGGCAATAATTTAGGATCTTACAATTTCACCTTTTACAACTGCTTAAACACCTTCAATTGGCTGTAGTTCATAATAATAGGTGACATATAAAAACTTCATGATCATATTGTTTTGCTATTTTAATGCAAGAAAATAGTACCATTTTCTTGTGCATTTAAACCAGCTCCAATAGTTCTAGTTTTTGTAATTCATTTGAAAAACAATATTGACTTCCAGTTTTTCATGCTTGAAGTTGGATTAG